TCAGACGAAGCTAAATCAATCAGATGAGATTTTTTCTGAAGTCATCTGGTGCCAGATCAGGTTAAAGGAGCATTCCACGATAAGGTCAAAGGTCGAGAATATTACACCTATCGAAGGCATACAGACCCTCCTGAGGGTGCGGAACGTTGTGCGTTTTGCAGCGAAGAGTACGCCCTCAGCGGCCTAGCAGACCGCTCCCGCACCGCTCACGCCTCTGCACGCCCTCCGACGATAACCCTTCGCGTCTGACTCTAGCCGTTTAGCGGGAGAGCGTTAGCTTGGCGAGGGGAGCACCGATTAGAATGAAATCATTGCCAAATCAATAGGCAAAAAAGGGATCTCTCTCGAGCTCAGTACGGTTGATCTCATGGTTTTTCATCTCTGCACTCCTGACCTCTTTAGCTTGATTTCTAATGGGTTGCCTTTTTATCGTAAACTCCGAATTAACAATAAATGCCTACAAATGTAATGTATGCTTGTGACCTATTCTTAGGTAGCAGACATAATTTTGATCAGTGGCAGTCACTCATTGGTAGTGAACATAATTGAGAAATCAAAAAACTGTATTATCTTATTACGCGCGATAAGAAAGTTTACCTGCTATTGCTAGTTAGTCGATGTTTAGAGACCCGACGAAAGGAAAATTCAAAGTTGCATCTCTCAAACTCCATTTTTCCACTTTCTTGCTTTGAAAAAAGAAACCCAAAATTGAAAAAAAATTGCTGGGAAGGCTTACCAAAATATTTTCTAATTTTTATTCGGAGAAAGTAACTGGAAAGGCTTTTGTAGGAGCTCGTCATGACTCGACTCGATATTCGATCACATCCCATCCTTATATGGGTTTTAGCAATTTAAGGCACACCTCGTGCTTGAATTGGTTCGGCTATTTTGCTGGAACATAAAGGTAAAGGTGTTGATTGGACCATTACAGAGAAAAAAGGGTGGCGGTCTCTTTTCCAGGTTATGAAAGGTTCTAAGGCCGACAGTAAGACAAGAACTACTGGGTACTGAGGAGAGGGGAGAGAATTGGATAGGAGATAGTATTGCTCATTATATCCTCGTACATCTCCGGGCCTCCTCATGCATCGTCGCACTCGACTTTCGCTCGGACCATAGGCCACATTTTTCAAAAACTCTCAAGGAATCACTTGAAATGTCAAGATGGGAAACTCTTTCCCGTCTCCTA